ATATGGATAGAGCAGGCAACGATGCAGCCCCAGTCAGAAAAGACCTGGTAACTCCCTGGAGAATCACTGGTCAGAGTGATTGCAGCAACAATCAAAATACTCACCCAAGAAGAATCTAGTTTGCTTCTGCCTCAGTTTCCTCCCTTTTTCACATTTTTTTTTTCATGTAGGCCCTCAGCCTGTGAGATTGTGTCACCCACATTCAGAGCAGGTCTCCCTGCTTCAGTCTGCTGTCCCACATGCCAATTATCTCAAGAACACCTTCATCACCACAGCCAGAACTCTCTTCGTCCAATCAAGTTAACATCCAGATTGACCATCACACACACACCATTTCCTGCTCTCCTGGTCCACTTTCCACACTGCAAGTTACATGATGCATTTAGAGCATAACTTGAGCACCCATTATTTAAAATTTACCAATTACTTCCCGTGACTCTTATCATAATTACCCAAATCATTATAGGGGATGACTTAGGATGTTTTGGGAGGCAAAAGTTAGAAAAAAAAAGGGATCTATCCATGTAAAGAATGACTTAAACAACAAGAGCATTTATGATCTTACATAAAAGTGCAGAAATAAGAAATGCATGTGTTTAGTTCAATAACGCCACCAAGAACGTAAATTCCCTCCAGCTTCCCTATCATCCTCAAGTTGGCTTTTCCCTCTAATCGCCTCCTCCGGGGTCACAGATGTCTGCAGGAGCTCCACGGACACAGCAGTGCTTGGAGCCAGATGAGGGAAAGTACCTTACTACGTCCCCCTTTGAAGTCTAGAAAACATATCAGGGAATCTCTGTGCCCACCCCCAACCTCTCTCCTACTGGACTCAACTCACATCCTCAAGGAGAATGACTTGTCATGACTGGACTAAGGAAGATTCATCTCCTTAGGGGTTGAGGTGGGGTCAAATTCACCTTAAATCTCAAGGTCACTTCCTAGCTGCACAACACTGAGGTTTCAGTATCAAGAAAGAAGGAACATCAGGGTGGTTAACCAACAATGTCTCTGGTATGTGTTGCAGGACCCACAGGAACTGCCCAGCTCTCCTTCACTCCCAATAGGCTCTACTCCCCGCTGAGGTCAACCAGCCACCCCCACACATGGGTGCAGATCACCTCTTGGAGTTGGAGACATCGACATCGCTTCATCTGCAGAATCAGCAAGACCAAGGCTATCCATCTCTTGATGATTGGTAGAATTTGCCAAACCATTGCGGCCATTTTGTTTTGCTAATTGGATCGATGTGTGTTTGTGTGTCGGTGTGTTTGGAGACTCAACCACTGATTCATTTTCCTTACCTTTTATTGGACTAGTTTTAAACATATGATTATTGAGTTATAGTTTATACATTGTGAAATGCAAAGTTAAGTCTATAATGTAATGTTTTCATAAATGGATATACCCACATCACTCATATTCTCTTAAAGAATTAGAATATTTCTACCACTCTAGAAAAATTCTTCATGTACCCATTCAGCCAATGCCACACCCCTCCCATTTTCTTTCCAGGAAACTACTGCTGTGATTTCTTTTATCATAGATTAGTTTTGCCTTTTTTAAAACATAATTTAAATAGTATCATATAAAATGCATTATTTTGTGCCTAGCTTCTTTCACTCAAAGTAGCTTTCATTGAAATTTATCCAAGCTACTAGTGAATCAGAATCTTGCTCTTTTTTATTATTATTAACAGGTAATTTGTCACTGTATGAATGTACACAATTTTTCTTAACCATTCCCCCTTTGATGGATATTTAGGTTGCTTACAATTTGGAACTATCATAAATACTTCTACTATAACATTAATGCCCAACGCTTTGAGTGAATATTCCAGAGTAGAATTGCTTAGTATTTTGATATGCACATGGTTTACTTTATAAGGAACTGCCAGAATTTTCTAAAGTGCTTTGTCATTTTACATTCCACCAGCAGTATATGAGGGATCAGTTATTCCACATTCCGGCCAACACTTGATGTTCTAAGAATTTTAATTTTATCCATTCTATTGGGTATAAAATAGTGTTCTACTGTTGTATTAATTTGAATTTGAGCAATGATCACTAATATCAAACTCTTTTTCATGTGATTATTAGCAACTATGTCTTTCTATGCAAAGTATCTGTTCAAGTCTTTTTCCTATTTTTAAAAACAAGATTGCCTTCTTACTTAATAGTAAGTTTAATGATAAGAATATGCTATTAGTATTTTATTAAACTTATTACCAATATTAATAATAATATCAATAAGAGTTCTATATATTCTGTATTCAAGTCTTATGAAATAGTAAAGATTTTCTCTCATGCTGAGTCAGTTCCAGAGGTCATTTTTGTTTCTAGAAAATATTTCCTTTCGTCTAAGTTTTCAAATTTAAAGCCATAATTTTTCAGAGTATTCTCTCTTATTTACATCTCTGCAAAATCTGTAGTTTTATCTAACTTTTCAGTTATAAAATGATTTGTGCCTGACACCTCTTTTTGCCTTGCTCAGTCCGGATAGAGGGTCATCTGTTTTTTATAGTTCTTAAAAACAGAAATATAATATTTGGTTTCTTTATTTTTTTCTTTATTTTGTTTTATTAGTCTTTTCTTTCACGTTTAAAATTTCTTCTTCCTATGCTCTTTGATTTATTCTGTATCTCTCTTTTTTTTAATCTTTCTCAGTTGGTACTTTGGTCATAATTTTTCAGGTTTCTTTCTCTAAGAGAAATATTTAAGGCTACATATCTTACTTTAGGAATTGTTTTAATGTGCGGGCCTTTTTATATTTTCAACTTTAAATGTTTTCAATATTACATCTGTTGGACCCATGAGTTATTTAAAAATATGACTTTTTACTCTAAAATTGTGGGGGAAAATTTTTTGAAAAATTAAAAACTAGTTTTGCTATAGATTTTTAAATGGATTAACTTATATTCAAAGAAGGTTGACTTTATGGTATTAAAGGCTGATATCTTTTGAAATAACCTTAATAGGCTCAAATGCGGTCATTTTGGTTAGTAGTTCATGTATGTTGAAGATAACATGTTTTCTATAGTTGTTGGTTACAAGGTTCTCTGTTTATCTGTCTGTTGAACAAACTCACCAACTGTGTGTCAATAATTGACATCCTTAATATTTTTGTTAGTTCTTTGTTATTGACAGTTATATTAAGTGTATCAATCTCCTACAAAAAAAAATCTTCTGCATATTTATTTTAAGTAGATTATAAAGTCCAGTTGACATGCCATGAAACACCTTGGGAGCTTTTGGCTTATAGGAAGTTAAGTTGAATATATCTCCTCTTGCTGGAGTTAGGGAAGCCTGGTTCCAGCTGGGCCACTAGAGAGAAGAACTTCTATGATCAGTCATCGCACCAGTTTTCTGATAATTACACACTGATTGCATTTAAATATGTACTTAATTGTGTGATAATTTGATGCTTCTCTGGCTAGTTTAGCAAGCACTTGCTTCATAACGTGTGCACATGTATATCACAAATAGATCACAAAAAATGAATTAAATGGATCTTAAAGGTAAAGAAGGTGTCCACAGGCAGAGAGAATAATGGCTTTGATTATGACAAAGGCCTTGGAGATCTCTGCTTGCCTAGTGTCACTCCTGCATCTGACGACAGCTCTCCACCTTTCCTTTGGAGAGCCCTCTTCTCTTATCCATAATCCATGTAATTTGGGTAAAGTTGCCTTCCTTTGTTCACTCCAGGAATGGACACATACCCTTGTCCTGCACAATCAGACCACTGAGCCTCTGGCTGTGACTGTTGAAGATGGCAGGGCACGTGACCCAAGCAGGCCCAGGTAACCGAACACTGGGCCAATGTTGGGAATCGTGAGAATGACGTTCTTTCCATGAGGGTGACAGACTTGTCTCCTGTAATTCCAGACTTGACAGAGGACCACAGGAAGACTGAGAAGGAAGCCAATGTAGGAATGGAAATGAGAAAGGAAGAGGGACTGGGCCTGGTGAATTTTTTTATGACGCTACCTGAAGGTATCCTATGAACATTCCCCTAAAATAGACTGAGAGATTCGCTTTTCTTTTATGTGAGTAGGGGTGAAGTTTCTGAGCCCCAATGCATAGCAAGACTGGCTCCGCAGGGGCTATCCTTAGAGGGTGCCACGGGGAAGTCCCCTTTCTTAAGGGACTAGAAAGGCTTGTTCTACTTATCTCCTAGTCAGAGGCACAGTACTTGGGCTTGGTTCCCTTTAAACCTTCCCCCTTATCCTAAGCACTGCCCAGCCCCATTTTTGCCAGTGTAACGTGGACATATTGCATTTCCTTTCTCAATTCCACACAAACACGTGGAGTCTCCAATCTATTCATTCCTGGCCCCATTCAAAATGCACAGGGTTGGGGACACAGGAGCTAGATAAGAAATCCTCTCTGGAGGTCCACAGCTCCTCACGACAAGTGCTTGTGTGAAATGCGGGAGTCACACTATGTATTAAATTTATTAAGAATGCTACCTGGTTAAGAGAACCCAGTATGTCTTTGGCATTCCCAGTTCTCAACCATGAACAGGGTTGTTTTCTGTCGGCCTCTGTGACTCTGTGTGCAGGGTGTGTTTTGTTTTTGTTTTTGTTTTAATAATGTACTGGGGATTATCAGGGACGCTTAACCACTGATCCACATCCCCCAGCCCTTTTTTTTTATATTTTATTTTAAACCAGGGTCTGACTTAGTTACTAAGGACCTCAAATTGCAAGGCTGCCTTTGAACTTTCAATCCTCCTGCCTCAGCCTCCTGAGTAGCTGGGATTACAGGTTTGTACCACCACACACGGCTGTGTACAGGTTTTCTCCAGTCACAGGAGCATGGTGGGCTCCCATAGGACACAAGCCTATCAACAAAGGACAAATGCTAGTACAAGATCAGCATTCTCGCCCCTCAGATGGAATGAGGCCAAGCTGTTCTACACAGTATGCAAGAGGTCCCCAGTGGACAAGTGATATCCTGCATGTCATGCTAGGCCTTGGCCCCCTTCCCTTCTCTATCTCAATTCCTCTTTCCTCCCCTGCTAGTTGCTGGAATCAGCTTACCAATAAACAACATTCACTTAAATCCTTGTCTCAGGGTCCGATTTTAGATGATTTCATGGTCAGATATTATCCATTTTCTTTACTTCTGATTAACTGACTTGTTTAAATCTATCTCTTATCTATCATCTAGCATCTATCCATATCTAGCTAGCCTTCTGTCTAGCTCTATGTCTAGCTAAACAGCTCTATGTCAAAAGACAAAATTACAACAAATTTAGCTTAAAAATCTGAATTGCTTTTATCTGTGGTTCCAGAATCAGGCAACACTTCATTTCATAGAATAGAGTAAGTGTTCCAATGAGCTAAGCAGAGGACGTTTGTTTTATAGGCAAAGAAGAGTTGAAGAAAGCAAAACAAAGAACAAAGAGTGGATGGCTTACTTCAAAGTTACTATTTTTATTAGTTGGGGAAAGACAGAACAATAGAGAAATAATGAATTGGTTAATATTAAATTACTTTTTTTTTTGGCTACTGATTAAAGCAGGGGGATTTCATTATCATGTGGACTGAAATCAGCCTATTTGGGAAATCTGTCTCCTGATTTCTCAGGTCATATAACAAGTTAGTGTCAGCTGGATGTTGTGGAATTTGAATATGAATGACTCTGTTTCAACTTTTATTCTGGTCCTTGGGGTCTAGTGCAGTTTAATTCAAAACAATGGGCTCCTCTATTTTTTATTTAATCATTATTTATTCATTAATAAGATTTCTTTCTTAGGGAGGTTTTGGTTTACAGCAAAATGGAGCAGAAGTTACAGAGTACTCATCTGCCACCTGTCCCTGTATATGCATAGTCCCTCCCACTATCAACGCCCTCCACCTGAGTGGCACACTTGTCATGACTGACAAACCTGCGTTGACATACGATCATCACTCATGTTCGTATTTGCACTAGGCTTCACTCTTGGTGTTACTTGTTCTCTGAGTGGTCATCCATTTTTTTAAACATATATTTACTTACACTGAGGCCACTTCTCCCATGTCCTCTTAGAAAATATGGCTTATATGTCAGTCAGCTTTCCATCACTATAAACAAATACCTGAGAAAATCAACCGATAAAGAAAAAAGGTTTATTTTGGCTCACAGTTTTGAAGATTTCAGTCCATGATCAGTTGGCCCTTTGGGCCCTAGATGAACCAACATATCATGGTGGGAAGGTGTGACAGAGCAAAGCCATTCCTCTCTCAGCCAAGAGGAAGAAGAAGGAAAAGGAGAAGGAGGAGGAAAAGGAGACTGGCGTCCCACAATCGCTTCAAGGGCACACCGCCAGGACCTTCCATTGGGCTCCACCTCATGAAGTTTCTCCCACCTCCTACCAGCACCTTCATGAGCACCAAACCTGTAATACACGAGTCTTTGGGGGACAATCAAGAACCAACAATGGCAGTTTGATTCTCAAATTCATCCTCTTGTCTCCCCCCTTCTATGTCCTTGGTTGGCTGTGAGCCTGGCTCCGTGGGAAACCTGAAATGTACACTGAGCTCATGATCCTTATCAGCCTCAGTAGTTCAGGCTCCTCTCTCACATCTACCTCCTCCCCCACGGAGGTTTCAGAAATTTTCTTTTTTTGCTAACTTTTATATTTTAAATATGATTTGTGTGATTTAGAAGGTTTAACAAATGCAAATAATCAAAGGAAGAAAAAAAAGGAACAAAATCATCAATATCAAAATCAATAGTGAAAAAAAAATTAAAGACCTAAGATTAAAAAAAAATAAGACTAAGAAAATAAAAATAAAGAGATCCTATATGCTCATCCTCCTTCTGCAGAGCATTGTACTGTAAATTCAAGCCAGCACAATTAGGTATAAGGAAAAAAGCTAACAAAATTATTCATCTTGGGAGAGAAGAAGTACAAATAACTCCATGTGTTGTTGATATTATCATGTACAGAAACTCTTCAGAAACACACACACAAACACACACATTTACAAAGCATCAGAAATCTATGTATAGTCAGCACGCTTTGGGGTATAAAAATCAATAACCAAAAGAGTTTTATGCCTGTAGATTAGCAGTAAACAATTTAAAGCCTGTAGATTAGCAGTAAACAATTTAAAAAATTAAGCTAAAAAGAAATTCCATTTATAATAGCATCAAAAAGAATAACATATTTAAATTGATCCAAAAAAATGCAGAACGTATGAGTGAAAAACTATAAGACATTACTGAAAAGAATTAAAGAGATCTACGTAAGTGGAAAGACATCTCATGCTCATGGATAAAAAGCTAGTATTGTTCAGATGGTGGTATGTTCCAAATTGATCTTCAGCTTCAATGCAATTCTTGTCAAAAACCAGCTGCCTTTTTTTCAGAAATGTTTGACCAGAAATGATCACAAAATGCATACATAAATGCAAGGTAACTAGAATAGACAAATGCATCTTGGAAAAGAACAGAATTCGAGGACTCCTACTTCCCCATTTTTTCCATTTGAGGACTCCCTTTGAAACTTACTACAGAGCTAGAGTATGTTACTGGCATAAGGAATAGAACTGAGAATTTAGAAAATGAATCCTTTCATTTGTTGTCAACTGATTTTTGACAAGGGCACACGACCATTAGAGAAAGAATACT